AATTTTTTGATGTTTTGTAGACATGGGGGCCTCACTTCATTGCCCAGCTTTGTCTCAAACTCCTGGGCTCAAGTGATCCTCCTGCCTCAGCCTCCCAAAGTGCTGGGATTACAGGCATGAGCCACCATGCCCAACCTGGGGATACTATTTTGAGAATAATGAGTAATAAACCACATTCATTTAACTGCTTTTAAGGTCAATAACTTTATATTCCTCTAATACCCAGGTTGTGGTATCCAAACACCATTTCCCACTAAAAAAGACCATGAATCGCTGGGGAAAAAAAAAAGTAGCTGATACAAGCTCTGGTCTAGATATGCACAAAATGAGCCCAGAACATTTTATATTAAATAGCAAGAAAACTGGAAATTTATGTCAGAAGGACTCAGGAACTAACTTGAATAAGTTCCCACTGGCCAAAACTGTCCTATTTTTGACAAGAGGGATCCTTGTCCCTTCCAAGTTGAGGTGGGAGCTCCCTGGGTGCTGCTGCAGCCGCCCAAGCCACGTCTGTGGACCCGGGCATCCCTGTACTTTCAGGGCTGGGAGCAGGCAGGAGCCCCGCCCTCCCAGGTGTAACTCAAAGAGTGGCTGCAGACTCAGGAATCCCTGTCCTCTTGGGGCCCTAGAGGGCCTCACAGACTCAGAAATTCCTGCTCCCACTGACTGGCTTCTCCCTGCTGTTGATGCCTACTCCAATCTCAGAGCAAAGTCAGAGCAGAGCCTGGGCACTGTCACAGCCTAGCCGAGTGTGCACATACTCGGGGCAGAGCTGACACACCAGTCCCCTGCTGCTTCGGTCCCCTACAGATTTTGGGTGCCAATGAGCATAGGAGGGAAGCCAACTGGGGTCTGAAGGCAGCTCAGCACTGGCCTGCAGGCACCTCTTGGCACCTACAGCCTGGGCACCATGAATGGCAGCAGGAGGCAGACAGGCTCCTGGGTGGATGGGGCAGGTCCCTGGTAAGGCCCCACTTTCAGGCCAGGGAGGGCCTGAGGCTGGGGACCGGGCTGCCCATCGCACTATGGGAGTGGGAACTTGTGGTGACCCTTCCAGGCCCACCCATGGCTGCCCATGGACCAACTGGCATGCACTTCCTCCCCTCTAAGGCCCATAAAAGCCCAGGCTCTGAGCAGATGTCAGGAAAATCAGCTGCAGAGAGGAGCTACCCACACCAAGGCCTCCTCTGTGGGAGCTGCAGATGTTGGGACAACCAGCTGCAGAGAGGAGCAACCAACTTTCCGGCCTCTGCAGAGACTACGGGATGACATGCCTGCAGAGAGAAGCCACCCACTCTAGGGCCTCCCCTCTGCTGAGAGCTGCACAGATGACAGGACAACCAGCTGCAGAGAGGAGCTACCCTCCCTGCTGATAGCTGAACACTTGTCAGGACAACTTGCCTAGCAGAGAGGAGCTACCCTCTCTGCTAGGAGCTGAACACTCCTCAGGACACCCTTGCTAGGGAAAGGAGCTGCCCCCTGCAGGTTTCCTTTGAGCTGTTCTATTGCTCAATAAAGCTACTGTTTGTCTCGCTCACCCTTCACTTGTCTGCATACCTCATTCTTCCTGTCTCAGGACAAGAACTCAGGACCCACCAAATGGTGAGGTTAAAAGAGCTGTAACACAAACAGGGGTGAGACATGACCCTTGCTTGCCATGTTGTGGGTGAAGGCAAGAAGAGCTGCAGCCCTTCGGGGAGCGTAGCCCTGGGAGCTCCCCAAGCCAGGGCTGTGACTCCCTCTTTGAGGCCCCACTGTTCCTGGCATCTCCAAGCTTCCAGGCACCAATATGTTCCCCAGTGCCAGCTATGGAAGCTGCTTGCCATGTGCCTGGTCCAGCTGCAGGCTCGCAGGGAGCTGGTGCCATGCTGGCACCTGGAACTGCCCACCCCACTGCAGCACCCAGAATGTCTGACCATGCACAGTGGCTGGACCCAATGCTCACTCACATACCCCTAACTGTTCCACGCCTGTCTCACCCTTGGCAGGCTTGGGACCCAGGCTGGTAGCATGAGCCAAGCAGAGGCTGCCAGGCTGGGTGGGCAAAACGAGCCCAGAGGGCCTGAGCAAAACTGGGGCAAAGGCACCACCAGCCACAGAAGTTTCGGGCCAGAAAAAGGACACCCCAAAGATCCCCTAACAACAGGACAAGCATCACAAATGATAACTGGGCACAGTGGCTCACACCTGTAATCCCAGCACTTTGGGAGGCCAAGGCAGGTGGATCACCTGAGGTCAGGAGTTTGAGACCAGCCTGGCCAACATGGTGAAATTCTGTCTCTACTAAAAATACAAAAATCAGCCGGGCGTGGTGGCAGGTGTCTGTAATCCCAACTACTCCAGGAGGCTGAAGCAGGGGAATTGCTTGAACCTGGGAAGCGGAGGTTGCAGTTGCAGTGAGCCGAGATCACACCACTGCACTCCAGCCTGGGTGACAGAGCAAGACTCCATCTAAATAAATAAATAAATAAATAAATAAATAAATAAATAAATAAATAAATAAATAAATAACTGGCTGGGTACAGTTGCTCATGTCTGTAATCCCAGCACCTTGGGAGGCCAAGGCAGGAGGATGGATCACTTGAGGCCAGGAGTTTGAGACCAGCCTGGGCAACATGGTGAGACCGTGTCTCTACAAAAAAATTAAAAATTAGCCTGCTGTGATGGCACATGCTTATAGTCCTAGTTACTTGGGAGGATGAGATGAGAGAATCACTTGAGCCCAGGAGGTCAAGGTTGCAGTGAGCTTTGTGCCACTGCACTCCAGACTGAAAAAGAGACCCTGTCTCAAAAAGAAATAAAAGATAACTAGCAATAATTGAGTACATCATATATGCGTTAACTCTAGAAAAACCTCACTGGTCAACTTTGGAAGATGCTGGGGAACCAACTCATTACTTTGAAAGCTGGTAAAATAAGTGAGAAACAATCAAGTATTTATTCTGCCTTTCCTAGGAAATGTATCTCTGTGTAACAAATAGTTAATGTGGAAAAGTTTCTCCTTATAGAAGTATTCTACCTAATACTTCTATAGAAATTCATTCAAAGAAGGAATGATAATATTATTTTCTAACTTTTTATTTAAGACAGGGTCTTGCTATGATGCCCAGGATGGACTTGAACTCCTGGGCTCAAGTAACCCTCTTGGCTCAACTTCCCAAGTAGTTGGGACTACAGTCATGTGCCACTATGCCCAGCTTTAACTCCTTTATTAATGAACCTAGACCAGTGGTTCTTAATCAGGGTCAATTTTGTCCCCCAGAGGACAACTAGCAATGTCTAGACACATTTTTCTATTGTTATAGTTGGGAGGAGGTGCCACTGGCATCCATTAGGTAGAGGCCAGGGATGCTGCTAAACATCCTACAATGCACAGGACAGCCCCCTACAATAAAGAATTTTCCAGTCCAAAATATCAATAGTGCCACGGTTGAGAAACAAATATCAGTTATTAACATCACAAAAAGACCACCATTGTATACCTCTAGATAGAAGTGCTAAAACTACCTACAAATTAGTTTTGCCAAAATAAATCTAATTTGATTAAGTTACCAATTTATATCAAATACAGAGGATGGAGGAACATGCTAAATTACAACAGAAATCAAGACTCTAAGAAACCCTACAGGACAAATGAACTAGTTTAAAACAAATAGAAAAAAAGATGGAGAATAAGCATAGATCTGCAAAGACTTAAGAAACATGGCTGGGTGTGGTGGCTCACACCTATAATCCCAGCACTTTGGGAGGCCAAGGCAGATGGAATGCTTGAGCCCAGGAGTTGAGACCAGCCTGGGCAACGTGGCAAACTCCATCTCTACAAAAATACAAAAATTAGACAGGTGTGGTGGTGCCCACCTGTAGTCCCAGCTACTCAGAAGGCTGAGACAGAAGGATTGCTTGAGCCTCGGAAGTGGAGGTTGCTGTGAGCCAAGATCAACCCACTGCACTCCATCCTGGGTGATAGAGCCAGACCCTGTCTCACCAAAAAAAAAAAAAAAAAAGAGGGAGACAGACAGACAGACATATCACCTGTAAAGTACAGGCCTAATTTAGATTTTGATTCAAATAAACAATTTTTAAAAATCAAACGTAAGACAGTGGGGGAAATGTAAACAACTGGATGCTTGATGATATGAAGGAGCTATCGTTATTTTTTGGTGTGACAATACTGTGATTTGATTTTAAAGAAGAATCTTTATCATTTAGAGATAACATACTGAAAAGTTTACAGGATGAAATGATATGTCAGAAATATACACAAATATGGAGTGAGGAAGAGGGCACGGGTATAGATGAAACAAGATTGGCCATGAATTGCTCATTGGAGAATCACTGGTATAGAAGGGTAAATGAAAGCAGTACTTTCACCTAGGCCAGGTCAAATATGACAACAGTACAACTGAGGCAAAGGCAAACCAATTTTGCACTATGGGTTTCCAACAAAATGGTCTTACTAATCCAACGTAAATAAATATTCATTATTCTGTTCTGCGTGTGTGTATGTGTTAAGACATTTTCCATCATAAAAAGTCTGAAAAACAACAACAAAAGGTTTTTTTTGAGACAGAGTCCCGCTCTTGTCGCCTAGATTGGAGTGTAATGGCGCGATCTTGGCTCACTGCAATCTCCGCCTCCCGGGTTTAGGCGATTCACCTGCCTCAGACTCCCAAGTAGCTGGGATTACAGGTGCCCGCCACCTCGTCACGCTAATTTTTTTGTATTTTTAGTAGAGACGGGGTTTCACTATGTTGGCCAGGCTGGTCTCATCTCCTGATTGAACCACAGACACAGCCTCCTTCCTAATCAGTGTTGGCCAGGCTGGTCTCATCCTCTCCTGATTGAACCAGTCACAGCCTCCTTCCTAATCAGTCTCCCTGCCTCCATACAACCACCGCAATCATCTTTCCAAAATAGGCATCTGGCTCTTTGGCTTGGAATTACCATTACTATTATAGTAATTCTCAAACATGATAAAGGGCCAGAACCCAATATCGGTTAAAAGATCTATGATATTACTTAAACAAAATGAGGCATAAATTCCTAGTGTTTACAGATGTCATACAACAATAGAAAGCAAATTCACAAATAGTTGTAGATGTTAGCATTAAATATGATGAATGAGCGTGTGCTGAGACCAAACGCCTCCAGAAAAAAGAACAGGATGCACGTGCTCTGGGCAATTCTGAGGCTGGCCTGCCTCCACTGGCTGTGGAAGGATTGCGAACGTCTCCCTTCCTCTCGCTCCAAACTTGTGCAATACCTTCCCTTGTACGGCGCACCAAGACAGCATCTGGCCTTCTCTTGACTCTAAGGCATCATGTATCATTTATGACCGTCTTTATTCTTTTCTCAGTAGCCCTCGACAAGTGAGCAGTACTTCTTGGCTCCAACTCTCATAAACGTGTAACCAGACTCCATTGGAAGACGGTAACCCCACGCGATACGGACTGTGCTTGTATTAATTTTCTTTTAAGGTTACTACAGAAATATTAATACAGTACTTGAGAATTCCTGACGGACGCAGCCTCACTTCCTCAGCTCTCTCAGCCGGCCTCCGCACCCGGTACCGCAGCTTTCACTCCCGCCACCCACCGTTCCGCCGCTAGGGGGCAGGCGGCTCAACGACGCCCATTTAAACCGTTTGCCCGGGAGTGGCCCGCCGGGATCGCGTGTCACCACCCAACCCTGGCGATGATTGGCTATTTTGCCGAGGCCGGAGGCGGAGCCAGCGGCAGAACCGGAAGTATCTGGTACGGCAAGTGCACAGAGTCCGCAGACTGCGTGCGCACCCGGGCACCGCGCCGACTTAAAGAGGCCAGTTGCAGCCCCTCCTCTGGCCTGAGGGGACAGACCGTGTTCCTACGTGGAGGGCGGAACCCTCACACTGAGGAGGGCTGGGTCACACTGAGGGGAGGAGTCACCTTGAGAGGAGGGGTCACAATGACTTAGTGGAGTTACTCGGAGGTGGGGTCTCACTGCGTGGGAGGAACACAGAGCAAGGGGGTGCAGCACTGAGGGGTTCTGACACACACTGACGGTGGCAGTGCCACACTGGGGAAAAGTGCCCCCGAAAGGGAGGTGTCTCCGAGAGAAAGCGTTCTTTGAGGGGGTGGGATCTTGCGGAAGGAGGGGCTTCCCTGCAGACGGTGGCTTCTCTCTTAGAGTCATTTGGACAAAGTAATAAGAGGGAGGTCCTGGCTGGGTAGTCACAGGGCGGAGGACCTGGACTCTCTTCTTTATTGGGAGGCGGCAGGATGAAGTGAGGAGTCGGGGCTAAGCTGGGTATGGGCCGGCCAAAGGCTCCCTATAGCCCCAAGTTATCACAAGCTCCCGTGAAGGTAGAAGGTGTTAGGGAGGCCAGAGGTTCAAGGTGTCGGAGTCGAAGAGACCTGGGAAATGGGCAGGCTGGGCCGGGGCGCAGGCCAGGAAGGTGGACAGGTTGCTGGGCTGCCTCGGATTGCGACTGGGCCTGAGGGGCCTACGTTTCTGCCCCGTTGGTCCCTGGAGCCCAGGAATCCGGCAGGTTTCTGAGTCCGACCCACAACGGACAGTCCCAGGGAGGACAGGGGACTCCCTGGGCAGCTAAGCTTCGCATGCGCACCATCAGCCCTTGATTCCCTTTCGTTATTCAAGTTCAGCCTGAGCTTATTTGACCCGGGCGGCCCAGGGCGTCGCGGCCGGAGAGCGGGGAGGCGGGGGTGCGCACCTGAGGGGGCGTGGCCGCTGCCGGGAGGCCGGGCTGGAAGGAGTTAAGCGGAGGCCCGTCCCAGCCCCGCCCCCGGCAGGCCGCGGAGCCTGAGCCCCGGCGGCTAAGCGGTGCAGCCGCCGCCCGCCCGCCCGCCTCCGCCCGCGGCGAGCTAGCCCGCCGGCGCCCGGGAGCGCTGCCGCCACCGTCGCCGCCACCGTCACCGCCACTGCCCGGTCCAGGCCCAAGCCCAGGCCTACGCAGAGCGGAGCGGCGCGGCGTCCACCCGGGCCCAGCTAGCCGGCGCGGCGGGGGCGGGTCCAGGATCTTCGGCTGATCTTCATTCTCAAGGCGGGAGCGGGAGTCCGGGCGCCCAGGATCTGGCTGGGCCCGCGCCCATGGCAAGCGCGGCCTGCCCGGGCCCCGGGGACCCTGCCATGTGAGGCAGGCCCGGGCTGGGGGCCCGGCCATGGCCGGGGAACGGCCCCCACTGCGGGGCCCTGGGCCCGGGCCTGGAGAGGTGCCGGGGGAGGGGCCCCCGGGGCCGGGGGGCGCGGACGGAGGCCCGGGCCGCGGCCGCCCCTCCTCCTACCGGGCTCTCCGCAGCGCCGTGTCTAGCCTGGCCCGTGTGGACGATTTTCACTGCGCGGAGAAGATCGGGGCCGGCTTCTTCTCTGAGGTCTACAAGGTAGGACCGGCCGAGAGGGCAGAGGGGCGGGACCGAGCCTTCAACCAGAGGCTGCAACTAGGGGGCCGGGAGTGCGGGGAAGAGGGTCCAGACTCGGGCGACCCTCCCGACCTGCCCGACCCTCGCCGGCCGCCCCCGCCCCCAGGTTCGGCACCGACAGTCAGGGCAAGTCATGGTGCTGAAGATGAACAAGCTCCCCAGTAACCGGGGCAACACACTACGAGAAGTGCAACTGATGAACCGGCTCAGGCACCCCAACATCCTAAGGTGAGCGGCCCCAGTCTCTGGGCAGCTTGCTGGGCGGGAGAGAAAAGGAAAGATCCCGCGGGAAAAGTGGAACTGAGGAGGAGCTGAGGCCCTTAACAGCCTACCTTTCTATCTTCCCCCTTCTCTTGCAGGTTCATGGGGGTCTGTGTGCACCAGGGACAGCTGCACGCTCTTACAGAGGTGAGGATAGACCAGGAAGGAGGGATCCCCACCCCCCCTTCACCCCCAAGGATAAAGGCAGTGAACAGGCCTGGTGGATCTACCGAGGACTAGTGAGAGGCAACAGGATCTCCTCCCAGGGGAGGCTTTCCTGAACTTCCCTTTAGGCAAACCACATATAAAAGGCCTCAGCTGGTCTTATTCTCTGTATCCCCTAGAATAGTGCTGTCCAATAGAATTTTCTTCAGTGATGGAAATGTTCTCTATCTGTGTTGTCTTATATAGTAGCCACTAGCCACATGTGGTTAAATTTAAATTATGTTAATTGTTTAGATTTTTTTGTGGGTCAACTTGATTAAATTTAAAAATTTTTTAATTATTTAAGTTGTTGCACATGGCTAATGGCTACTGAGTTGAACAGGGCAACCCTAGAACATGGATGGAGGGTCCTACAGCACAATCTTACTCCTCTGACCTCTGTGATCCTCCGGAGTGTCCCCTAGCTTATAAGTGGGGGACCTAGAATACAGACTGAAGTCTGACATCCATTCCCATTCTCCTCCTATGCACCAGTATATGAATGGGGGGACCTTGGAACAACTGCTCAGCTCCCCTGAACCCCTATCCTGGCCTGTCAGGCTCCGCCTGGCCCTGGACATTGCCCGAGGCCTGCGGTACCTGCACTCCAAAGGTGTATTTCACCGGGACCTTACATCCAAGGTAGGCTAGTGGGGTGGGTGGAGGCATGAAAGAGGGTTTGAGACTATTAGGTTGTAACTGTCCTGTGGACGTTGGAATGTGGATAATAGATATATTAGGATGTTGGAGTGGCAAGGCATTGGAGAATATTGGGGGACCAGCGTGAGGGGAGTGCTCGGAGGGACTAAATAGCACCCTGTGTTTGGAGTGTTGGGTGATGTTGCAATATTGAAGTGCCTTGAAAAACTGGGAGAGCAGAGAGGGTTGGGGTTATGCTGGAGTGACAGGGCTTTGGGTTATACATTGGGAGGCCAGAGGGCAGAAGGTGATGAGTGCTTGGGGATACTATGTGTGTGTGTGTCAGAACTGTCTAGTCCGACGGGAAGATCGAGGCTTCACCGCTGTCGTGGGTGACTTCGGGCTGGCTGAAAAGATTCCTGTGTATAGGTGAGGTGAATGTCCCTGTTCCCCCCAAATCTCCCAGAGTGCCCCTATCTGATGTCCCCAGAGCCCCAGCGATGTTTCCCTTGGGGAGAGAAGGGAGTTCACCTCATCCCCTTTTCCCTGGGGGAGATGCCTGAGTAGGATGTTTCTGACCACCCTGCCCCTGCCCCTGCAGGGAGGGGGCAAGAAAGGAGCCATTGGCTGTGGTGGGCTCCCCATACTGGATGGCTCCAGAGGTGTTACGGGGTGAGCTGTATGATGAGAAGGTGAGACATCAACCCTTCAGATCCCCAAGGCCTTCCGAGACCCTTGAGGTTTCCTCATAAAGCCCCATCCATCCCCAAAACAACCCTACCAGATCTTCAGGAGTCCCCAAGATCCCTTTGCCCCTCACAGGCACCCTTCCAACACATGAAAACTGTCAAGATCCCCCACCCTCAACCAAATTCAGCTATATTCTGTCAAAATTCTGAAATGAAAACTGTTAATTCTTCCACGACACTATTATCTCTGACCCCCAGGCTGATGTCTTTGCCTTCGGAATTGTCCTCTGTGAGCTCATCGCCCGAGTACCTGCAGACCCTGACTACCTACCACGCACTGAGGTGAATGTCTCCAGGTTTGCAAACGAAGAACTCCAGACTAGCCGGCTCATAACCAAGGAGGATTCCCTAGAGGTTGAGGTTCTGACTGGGGAGCAGAAGGAGAACCCAAGAAAAGCTGACTTGGAGGTCCCTCCTTCTGTCCCCACAGGACTTTGGCCTGGATGTGCCTGCTTTCCGAACTCTGGTGGGGGATGACTGTCCACTGCCTTTCCTGCTTCTGGCCATCCACTGCTGCAGCGTAAGAGCCTCACAGTCCTTCCTGCCCCACCCTGCCCCCATCTATAAGCTGCCATGGCTGCCCTATGGGACCCAGGTGATGGGAGGAAACTCAGAGACCCTCTTTCGGAGCACTGAGTGAAGCCAGTCCCATCTCTACCCATCAGCTGGAACCCAGCACCCGTGCCCCCTTCACCGAAATCACCCAGCACCTGGAATGGATCCTGGAGCAGCTGCCTGAGCCAGCCCCACTCACCAGGACTCCCCTGACACACAATCAGGGTAAGTGAGCATGACCTTGACCCAGCTTAAGTCCTTTGGCCTTTCTCATCCTTAAAACTCAGAGATGACATGGAGGAGGCTAAATATATTTATTAGTTGAAAAGGCTGGCAGTCGGGCTGGGGTAGGGTGGGAGGACATCTCAGAGAAGACAGTTTCCTAATGCTAAAGCTTGAGGGAGGGGAGGGGAACAAGTAAAAGGAGCCTGGAGATGACATCGCCCCTTTCCAAAGCACCAGGTGGGACTCCCTTTTTCAAGCTCTAGTCCCACCAGCCTCCTGGAGAATAGTGAGGCCCTCAAGGAGCTGTGATCAAATGCTGAGGACAGTGATACCAGACTTCTCTGTCTACAGGCTGTGTTCCAAGAGGGGGTCCCTCTGCCACGCTTCCTAGGCCAGACCCCCGGCTTTCCCGAAGCCGGTCAGACCTCTTCCTGCCCCCATCACCAGAATCACCCCCAAACTGGGGGGACAATCTGACTCGAGTCAACCCCTTCTCACTACGGGAAGACCTCAGGGGTGGCAAGATCAAGCTTTTGGACACACCCAGCAAGCCAGTCCTGCCTCTTGTGCCACCATCACCATTCCCCTCCACTCAGCTGCCCTTGGTGACCACCCCGGAGACGCTGGTCCAGCCTGGAACACCTGCCCGCCGCTGCCGCTCACTACCTTCATCCCCTGAGCTCCCCCGCCGTATGGAGACAGCACTTCCAGGTCCTGGCCCTCCTCCCGTGGGCCCCTCCGCTGAAGAGAAGATGGAGTGTGAGGGCAGCAGCCCTGAGCCGGAACCTCCAGGACCAGCGCCCCAGCTGCCTCTGGCTGTGGCCACAGACAACTTCATCAGCACCTGTTCCTCGGCCTCCCAACCCTGGTCCCCTAGATCAGGACCTGTCCTCAATAACAATCCCCCAGCTGTGGTGGTGAACTCCCCACAAGGCTGGGCTGGGGAGCCCTGGAACCGGGCCCAGCATAGCCTGCCCCGGGCGGCAGCCCTGGAGCGGACAGAACCCTCGCCACCCCCTTCAGCTCCCCGGGAGCCTGATGAGGGGCTGCCCTGTCCTGGCTGCTGCCTCGGCCCCTTCAGCTTTGGCTTCCTGTCCGTGTGCCCCCGCCCCACACCAGCTGTTGCCCGCTACCGCAACCTGAACTGTGAGGCGGGCAGTCTCCTCTGCCACCGAGGGCACCATGCCAAGCCACCCACACCCAGCCTGCAGCTGCCCGGGGCACGCTCTTAGCAGTGGAGCCTGTGGTCTCAGGCCTCCAACTTTGGCCTTCAGGACACCCTGTAAGAACAGAGCACACTTGCTGGACAGTGCCAGTTCCAGATGGGTTGACTGGCTCTTCTCCCTGTGTAGGGGAGCCCCAGCATGGACTCGAGGGACAGAGCACTTCCAGTTCGATCCCCGGCTCGTGTTCCCATGGGGATCACTGAACCAGACACAGCATTGCTGACACATGAGACTAACACGTGCAATTATTTAAAAAGATTTCAATAAAACTGCCTGGCTGGCTCCGGGCTGCCCCTATCCACTCAACCCGTGCGCCCTCCTCCCCCGCCCCATTCTACCATGGGAAGTTCTTGCGGGGAGGCCAAAGTCCCTTCTAGAGGTGGCTTCACCCTTTTCCCAGGAACAGTCCAGTTTCAGGAAGAGGGAGCAGGCAGCAGGCTGGCCGGAAGTGTCAGGTGTGGATCAGCTGGTGGCTGGACACTGCCCAGAATGAGGGAACACAGGGAGGACATGGTCTGAGGACCCGCAGGCCTCAGGTTAGGAAGGAGGGGCACAGTTTCTTGTTGGCATGAGTGTCTGGAAGAGTAAAGTATCGGTGAGCTCCATGGTTGACTTAACTGAACCCTCATCCCGCTCACCCCATCACCCCCTCAGTTCTCAACAGCCACATCACCAGCCTCCCTTAAGTTCTAGGCCTTACCTGTCCCTCTGCCTGCCCAGCCCATCCTAACATAAGCAGACCAAGCAACTGGAGGCTGTGGAGGAACTTTCATCCCAGGTACAAGTTTTCCCTCGGGCCCCTGGGTCCCTGCTCTGGGTCCCTCTGCCCCTGGACTCCCCATGCCTTGGCCCCATCCCTCACTCTTACCAGTTCAGTGTAAAGGGCTGTCCTAATCTGGAAATCTGAAAGCTGTCATCTCACAGATGAAGGGAAGAGAACTTGTACATGCCTCTGTCCCCGTTCTCCAATACCATGACCAATCTTTTTGTACCTTGGGACATTTTGAACTTTGAACATAAACCCTAAAAAGTAATAAAGTAGAGCTGGGATATGCTCTGGACCCCTCCTATCCCACCCTCCCTTCTCTCCCCTTTCCCTGCATAAAACCTAAGTCCTAACTCGCTTTGCCTGCCTAAGGCCACATCTGGGCATGGTTCAGGACAGATGTCTGGAGTTCAACTAAAACAGGCTTTAGAACCAGCAGAGGGAAAAATCACTCCAGGTCATAAAGATGGGAAGGCCAGGCCGGGCACGGTGGCTCATGCCTGTAATCCCAGCACTTGTGGGAGGCCAAGGCGGGTGGGTTACGAAGTCAGGAGATCGAGACCATCCTGGCTAACATGGTGAAACCCCATCTGTACTAAAAGTAAAAAAAATTAGCCAGGCGTGGGGAGGCTGAGGCAGGAGAATAGTGTGAACCCAGGAGGTGGAGCTTGCAGTGAGCAGAGATTGCACAACTGCACTCCAGCCTGGGCGACAGAGCGAGACTCCGTCTCAAAAAAAAAAAAAAGGAAGGCCAATTAGGGAACACAAGGAGGCTGCCACCCTGTTTCAGGGTCCCTAGGGTTGATCCTCAATGGTACCCCACTGCTCCCTTGATCACAGTGAAGTGGAGCTTCGATGGTACCCCCACTGCTCCCTTGCTTACTTCACTGAGACAGCTCTAGTGCCCCGAGTGGCTGCTACTGAGAAAGTACAACCTCAGTTTGGGTGGCCTTGTCAAAGGATGGAGAAATGCTGCTGTCATCAGCTGTGGAGCCTTAACTAAATCCTTAATGTCTCCCCCTAAAAGCTAGCATAGGTCCCAACCTAGTAGTTACTAAAACAGAAAAGCATGTGTCAGGGACTTCTAGGTGGAAATAGAATGGAGAATAAGATTGCCTTAAGAAGTTATTAATCAAATAGAGAAAACAGACAAATAGGCAATTACAGTGTTGATTTATGGGAGAGTGCTGAGGGAAGCAGGTGGGGAGGAAATCTGATTACCATGTCTTTATGGAGGGGATTATGAAGTTGAAAATACCCAGAGTCCTAACAAACTTACCTAGTGTGTTGTGTATCATCAGTCAACTTCCCATCCTTGTTAGAGCTGAGGCCAGTCCAGTATGAATTCCCTGAATCACCATTTGGCAACAGCGAATTTGAGATGAAGTAAGAACGCTAAGGGGAGATTCAGAGAGACCAGAGATATGTGGAGAGTGATGAGAAATACGGAAGAAAATGCATGCCCTAGGGAGGCCTCAGCTTCGGCAAGGGGGCTGTATATATGACAGCTCTTTGGTAACTGGTCCCTGAATCCACCAAGTGCCACCCTGCAGATGCAGGCTCAGTGCTCAATTTGCCTTCCAGCTGAGTAAGAATCTCTGCCAGCCTTTGGAGGGGAGTCATTGTGTGTGCTGTTCTGGCCCCAAGGAACTAATCCCTACAATCCAGCCCACCAGGTGTGGGACCTCTCTGAGAGGCCACAAGAGTCAAGGAACCTGTCAAGCAGCCCAGGGAGCTGACTAGCAAGCTGAGATGAGATACAGATTAAAGTAGAGGCCAGCTGCGGTGGCTCACACCTGTAATCCCAGCACTTTGGGAGGCTGAGGCAGGTGAATCACCTGAGGTCAGGAATTAGAGACCAGCCTGACCAATATGGTGAAACCCCATCTCTATTAAAAATACAAAAATTAGCTAGGCGTGGTGGTGTGTGACTGTAGTCCCAGCTACTCGGGAAACTGAGATAGGAGAATTGCTTGAACCCAGGAGGCAGAGGTTGCAGTGAGCTGAGATTACGGAATTGCACTCCAGCCTGGGTGACAGAGTGAGACTCTGTCTCAAAAAAAAAAAAAAAAAAAAAACGTAGATATGGTTCCTAAGTTTCTACTCTCATGCCAACTCTAATCAGTTAGTAGAGGCTGCCTGGACCACTGTGCTGAGAAGACGCAGAGGTTGTTTCCAAGCTCAGAGGTCAAGAGTATTGTGATTCTCAGTTTCTTCCACGGAAAAGGAATGGCCACCCCAGCCATGTATGCACTGCCATTTCTGACTTGATGACATATGTCCCTTTACCGAATAGTACCCACCACAGTCTGTGAGTAAGGATATGCTTACTGATTGTTGATAAATTTCACTGAATGTGGCCAGCTTGGAAGACAGAGTTTCACAATGTTTTTGGCTCTCCTGCCAAGTTTTCAAAGTAGGTGAGATGTAAAAGCAGCTTTTCTGATGCATTGTCCATCCCATCGGACAGCAGGTGTCTAAAAAGCAGAAAGAGTGTGATAGCAGCAACAGTTGGGATGAAAGTAACTACTCAGCAATCTTTTGCTAACAATATTCTCCTAGGGCTAATCTCAGCATCTTCATGGACTTCTATGATCTTTGCAATCTTTCTTTCTTTTGCATCCCCTGGAAACACCGTACCTGTCCTTACTTAGTAAAAAGACTTTAACATTCAACAACATTACTTCTTAGCAATCTAGGAGGTTTGTCTTAATAGGGCTAATTTTATTACCCCAATTTCTGAACAATTGCAGTCCACCCTGACACTTTACCTAACATCTCTTGGGCCCATCTCCTCCACTCCCTAAAGCACCCCCCACTGCACATCCAAGACTTCCACTCCTCCAGCACTGGCCCCCTCTTTCCCTCTCCAATTTCCTACAAGCAGAAAATGTTGGGTCCTGTTTTGCGGAAATTGAGCTCTCTCCATTTCCCTCAAAATTTCTCTTCTCTGTTCTTCTTTTCCTGACTATCCATAAGAAAAAAAAATATCCCTCTTTCTTCAACATCCTACATCCCAATCTGCACTTCTGATCCCCAGACCACCTCTCTCCATTGCTTTGTTCCATCACTCCTACCTTCATCATTCAAAAATCATTCGCTCCCCACTAGCTCCCTCTCTTCTCTCTACATGATCTCATGTCCCCACCCTGCTACTCCCTTGAGTTACTGTCCTATGGCAACTTAAAGGAATAAAAAGAAATCCCTGCTGGGCACAACGGCTCACATCTATAATCCCAGCACTTTGGGAGGCCAAGGCGGGATGGATCACCTGAGGTCAGGAGTTCAAGAGCAGCCTGGTCAACATGGTGAAACCCCACCTCTACTAAAAATACCAAAAAATACCCAGGCATGGCCGGGCGCGGTGGCTCAAGCCTGTAATCCCAGCACTTTGGGAGGCCGAGACGGGCGGATCACGAGGTCAGGAGATCGAGACCATCCTGGCTAACACGGTGAAACCCCGTCTCTACTAAAAAATACAAAAAACTAGCCGGGCGTGGTGGCAGCGCCTGTAGTCCCAGCTACTCGGGAGGCTGAGGCAGGAGAATGGCGTAAACCCGGGAGGCGGAGCTTGCAGTGAGCTGAGATCCGGCCACTGCACTCCAGCCTGGGCGACAGAGCCAGACTCCGTCTCAAAAAAAAAAATAAAAAATAAAAAATAAATAAAAAAAAAATACCCAGGCACTATGGTGCACACCTATAATTCCAGCTACTTGGGAGGCTGAGGCAAAAGGATCGCTTGAACCCAGGAGGCAGAGATTGCAGTGAGCCGAGATCACACCACTGCACTCCAGCCTGGGAGTGCACTTCAGTCTCACAGAGTGAGACTCCACCTCCAAAAAAAAAAAAAAAAAAAAAAAAAAAAAAAAAAAAAAGAAATCCGTATGGCCAAATGGAAGAAAGTGAGGGGATAAGTGGAACACTGAAAGGTAGGCAGGGGTGTTGGAAGCTATGTTAAGGATTTTTTATTTTTATATTATGAGAAAGAGAAAGTCAGTGTAGGATTTTACACAGAGGAATTTTGTTCACTAGCTATATCCCAAGTGCCTGGGCACAGTGCTAGAACATATTATCTGTTATGTATTCCATAACTGTTTATGTAATCAATTAACTGGAATGCTCTAGATTGGGATGACATGATCAGATTTTTGTAAAGAATTACCCTGGCTCCAATATGAAGAATGGACTGCAGGGAGAGGAGTGAGTAGGAAAAACATTTAGAAAGTTGTTGCAGCTATCCTTGCAAAAGATGAGGATGGGCAAAAATCCAAATGGATTTATAGACTTGGTGATGGGAAGTGGAGGCAATTCCTCTCAGAGTGGAAGGTGAGGGCATGTGCTGAAAGTGAGGGAGAAGGAGTTATTATGGAGAGCAAGCTAACCACTGCAGAGGTTGCCAGGCAGTGCTGAGAGACTAGAGTCTCAGTGGCACTGAGCAAAATGATTCCACAATTTGTCACACCTTGGTGCTGACTGTGGGCAGTTGGGTTCATCCAGAGTTGAAATTTTGCCCATCAGGTGCACTAGAAGGATAACGGAACAAAGAAGTGAGTGAGCCATGTGCGGTGGCTCACGATTGTAATCTCACCACTTTGGGAGGCTGAGACAGGACGATCGCTTGAGCCCAGGAGTTCGATACCAGCCAGGGAAACATAGTGAGACCTTGTCTCTATTAAAAAAAAAAAAAAAAAAAAAGTGAGTAGTAAAAGTGATGGGCTCCAAACCCATGATAGGTAGGGAGAGAAGTGTGGACAGGAGACAGCTGATGGGAAGGGAGAAAAAGGGGAGTCAGCAGATTGGAGGCCTCAATGAGATCAAAAAAGTTTGGGGAAAACCTGGAGGAGTGGTGGGCAGCTGTGATCAGAGTGGAAGTCTGAAACCATCCTTTTGCCAGAAGAGCAGTTTCGGATGTAGAGGTCTAAGGTGCTGCTAAGAGAATGGGCAGCCCTGGCATGGAACTGATGGTCACAGAGGTTCAGGTTAAGGAAATGAGGGCAAGGGGCGTCTGCACATAATCTTGCTGTCTTATGCCTGGGGAGATCGACCAGATGACCCCAAGCTAGACAGAGCCTAAACCTGATCATAGCCCAAAAACACCCCAGTCCCCTTGGGCCTGGCACCTTGCCTAGACCCTCAGCCTGTTTTGACACAGCCTTGCCTCTTTTATGTGTCCCTTTCCCCATCTCCACCTACTGGCTGGGGTCCTGCTTTCAAAATGAATGGACACCCCATCCTAGTTCCCTAAACCACAACTCCAGGCTCCACCTCACTGTGAGTGCTGAGAGCCTCACTGCCTTGCCCCACCACCAGGTTGCACTCCATGTCAGTCAGTTAGTCTTACCCTTTGGGGAGATCTCAGCTATAATGAAAATTAATGAAAATTGAGGACCCTGTCTTTAGAAAGATGTGCAAACTGCCAAGTTCACATCCAAATTTGGGGGCGTTCCAGATCTTTGTCACTGATATCAACAGGAAGAAACCTTGGACAGTGTGATTTGGACTGCTGGCTGCCATCCTCCTCTACCCCACAGGATGAGCCTTGGAGCTCGGTGGGTCCCCCTAAATCCAGTATGCAGCTTGGTCCTTCTCTCTGTTGGCCAAAGCTGAACAGCTCATGTCAGCCACCACTCTGGTTCACTGCCCCTTTCCTGAACACCTCACAGGCCCCTGGGTGATAGACCCCTTCCACTAGTATCTCCTTGCTCCAATCCATCCCTCCCTTCTCTCCTCGCTCCAATCCATCCCTCCCTTCTCTCCTCTCCCCAGAGCGGACACCTGATGAGCGGCATTTGAAGAAGGGCTTCAGTCTGTTCTCCATGTTGCTCAGCTTCTGCTCCAAGGCCCTCCTCTGTTGCTCCTCACTTTTCAAGGTCTCCTTCGTCTTCTCACTGTCTGTCTGGCAGGCCTGTAGCTGCCCTTCCGCCGCCTGTAGCTGCCCTTCCGCCGCCTGATGAGCCCTCTGTTCCACCTCTAGTGCTTCCTGACTCTGCGCCAGCTCTCTCCTGGACCCCTGCAGATCCTCTGCGCTCTGTCCCAGCTGCCTTATCTTCAGGTGGAGCTGCTGCCTCAGGCTGCTGTTAGTGGCTTCCAGAACCCTATTCATCTGCTGGAGCTGCTGAAACACCTGCAGATCTGTTTGGCCACAGAGATTTGGTAGATGTCTTCTCCAGCCCTGCCCTAGTGCCCTGAGACTGCAGCATCAGCCCTTTTTCTCCTTCTTGCAACTTTTTGCATCACAGGCTGAAATACAAGATTTGACTGCCTAAAGTGTAAGGAGGTACTGGATTAGGTGAGGACAATTCAGGAAGACAACAGCCCTGGCAGGAAACCAAACCCAAAGCTAAGGATGTGGTGGTAGTGACTATGAGCCCTGCTGAGGAAGGTCAGCTTTGGGGGGAAAGTCAGGACGAAAGTCGTTCCGTGTAAGTGGGAAGTGGGGACAGCCTTACTCACAGCGCACTCCCAGGCAGATGACGGCTACTCCTAACAGCAGGCAGGTAAGGAGCAGGCCGAGCAGGAAGTATCGCAGGCAGGCTGTGCGGCCTTAGGGGGACAGTGGGATGGATGCGGGCAGTCAGCCCCCGGAAAGAATGTAGAGACGAGGGGACAGGTCCGCAGGGGAGACCCCTGGGGAAGGCATCCCTAAGAGGAGGGAGGTGCAGAGCTGAGGGGGCAACCATGGTGGTTTCTGTTGGGTAGCGGGGTGTTTCGCAGGTAGGGGAGAGGGTGTTCCAGAATCAGAGCTGGTAAGGACTCAGGGGCATAACCTGGGAGAAGGGGAAGGAAATATCAGATCGAGAGAGGGAGACAGGAGAAGGGGGACAGGAAGGCGAATTGGGACCATCCGCAGGGGGGCGGTGCACGTCGGATTCAGACGCACCCGATGTAGGTGAATGGGGCAGGGCAGCCGGGGCGGTCGGAAGGGCTGCGCCCGGACTCATCCTGGGAAGAGCTGCACCCCGCGGGGCCCAGCGCCATCCGCAGCCGGGACAGGCGCGAGCACGTGCCCCCGCGGCCGCACCGCACACTCACTCACAGGGGAGAATCCGCCCGACGGCTAGTGACGTCACGGCGCTCCAGGACGCAGTTGACTGCTCCGACTTGACCGCTGTCGAGGGGAGCATCCAGTTTGAGACGGGAAGCCCCGAGTATTGCCCCTTCTCCTCCGGTGCACCCGCTTCGCCTTCGCCACTGGGAAACTCCAGTCTGCCCCACGTTGCCCGCTAGGGTTGCTCTGGTACACCCTGTCACTCTACTGAGTTCCTCCTCTGCCTGGGACTCTCTCGGCTCCCTCCTGGGTCTCACCGTATCTTTTCCCGGACCCCCTCATCTCTCGTAGTTCTTCGTTTATCGCTTCCTCAGGGGCCCCTTATCTGTCGGCCCCAAACCCTCTCCCCCTTTGCTCTCATCCAACTCCCATCCCCCCTTTTCCCTCCTATGGCTCCCCATTTCCCATTAGAACTCATCCCCCACAGGGCTGCCCTATCCCTCCGCAGCCCTTATCTCCCTCACTGGGGTCTCCACCTTGCCGGAGGAATCTTTCTTCCTCCCCTGGCTCCCATTTATCCTGTTCCTATTCTTCCGTTTCCTAAGAACCGCCCTCCTCCTTTCCCCAGGGTATTGTGCTCTCAAGAATATTGTGGGCCATGGCGTGGGGGTGCACGCCTGCAATCCCAACACTTTGGGAGGCCAGGGCAGGAGGATCACTTAAGCCCAGGAGCTCGAGGCTGCAATGAGCCATGATCACGCCACTGCACTCCAGCCTGAGTGACAGAGCAAGACCCTGTCTCAACAACAACAAAAACATTGTGGACTCCCCGGCTCAAGACACAGCCCCCCAACAAACACACATCCCCCAGGCTCTCCAGACCTGCTTTGTCACCTAGTCCAGAAGAAGCCAAGCTTGAGGGTCCCCCTGGGACTGGGGGCACTTGAACATTCTCATAGGTGAGTTCCCCATCGTCATCAGCCCCTGGGTCTGGAGAGAAGAGAAGAGGGACCAAGGTGGGAGTCGGGAATAGGATCTGTGGGGTGGGGAGTGGGGATGCAGGATCAAGGGGAGGCCTCATCCCCCTTACCCTGTCCTAACCGGCTGGAGATGCTCTTCTTCAGGGGTGCCTTCACAAACCTCAGATCTGCATAGGTGATGGCCTCAGCCATGGTCCCGAGCAGCTCTGCCCCAACTCGTCTTCCCTGTCATCCACCGTCCTCCCTTGCTCCTCTTTTCTCTGTCCCTTTACAACTAGGCTCTGTGTTCCCTCTGTGACTGCACGGTTTATCACCTGGCCCTGTGACTTCCAGTCACAAAAGAGGAAGGTGTTAGCAAGTCTCAAACAGATGGGCTCAGTGAAGCAGAAGGCATCCCTGGGCCAGGGCCAGAGGGGCCACGGAGGGGACGCTGAGGTCCAGAGCACAGGGGTAGGGGCTGGGCCTGTCCCCATGTCCTCCCTGTGCTTCCTCTCCATGCATCTTAGACCCATGTGGGCCATACTGGACCCCAAACTTGGTCCTCCTGGTTATCTGCCCTGATCTGCCCCGCCCTCCTCCTGGCTGCCTTGTCCACTGGGGCTTATGATGTGTAGCTGCAGCTGCACTGACTCAGATGATCTCCCCAGCTCCAGGGTGAGGCTCCATTCTCCCCATGAGACTGGGGGTTCCTGGTTTGCATCCCTCACTCCTCATCATCCTGGGGTTTCCAGTAACTGGGCGTTCAGGAACAGGTCCCGGCCAGGGGTGAAGGTAAGGAACAGCCATGGCTGCAGCACCTCTGGAAAGGCATGCGGCAGCACTGCCCCCCATGCATCCTCATGGGGAGCCAGGGAGCAGGTGAGCATGGGAGTTGCAGAGGGCTTAAGAAGGACTGCAGCTTCCTAGGCAGAGGCAAGGCAGGAGCAGAGCCAGAGGCCGAGCACAGATTCCGGACCAGCAGAGGTTTTGACATTTTCTTGGTTTGGTTTTGGTTTTTCTCTTATTTTCACAGCAAAGTTCTTCCTTTAAAAAGTCCCAAAGCTGTCCCTTCACACACAGCCCCAAGGAAAAAGGGGGTATTTGTGGTGGAGGACCCAGGGACTGCCAGGCCTTCATAGGTGTTGGGGGCCTGGCTGATGGAGGAGATAGGGAACCAGTTGGGGGAGAAGGGGGCAGCTGAGCAGGGGTGCCCAAAGGCGCTCCCTAATGTTCTTTTACCAGGATGTGACCCCTAATAGGAACCCCAAAATGGCCTACATCCAGGATAGGAAGGAGCTGGAACAAGATGTAGTATGGGGGTGGGAAGAACCAGCCCCTAGCAAAGTGACATCCACCCCACAGAAACCCCCTCTCCTACAGCTGTGGGGAGGAAAAAGGAAGGGGAAAAAGGTCCTCACCGCATGCCAACAGCTTGGATGATTGGTGGTGTGTGGCAGGACACACACCTAGAGCTCTGCCAATAGCTCCACCCAGCCACCCCTAGAGGAAGTGGCCACTGAGACAAAGCTGTCACTTCAAAAATGTACCTGTAGAGAGGCACATGTGTGCATGTGTGTGCATGGACACGCATGTTCCCAGGACTTTGCAGTCTGTTAGGGCATCTGTGAGGTGAGCAGCTATGTCAGAGCCTGCCTGGAGGAGGAAGCCTTCTGTGGGCTGAAGGCTGCCTGCGATCACTATTATTTTCCATGGCAGGGAATGACGGGTCATTTTCAGAAAAGTCTTCAAAGGTCATCACAAGAGATCCTACAAGTATTTCCTTCTTGAGGCTCACTGTTTCCTAAGGTGCCTCTGCAGCTGTTAACGGTCCTTGCTTGATTAAAGTTTCCAACAACCCAGACCTTCCCCCAGATACAGACAGTGGTGTGTGGTGGTGACTCCCTGGGGGCCTCAGGGGCCCTGAGAGTGAGTGGGAGGGTGTAGAGCAGCTGGTGGCAAGGGTGGGTGGGGTGGGAAGAGTCAAATACTTGAACCTGTGGTGTACAGGGGGTGGGTGTGGGCAGTGAGTGAGTAAATCAATTGCAGGAAAATTTACAGGAGTTCCACAAACTGTAGAATGTCCCAGTTTTCAGATCCAATACACGGGTGAACATGATGTAGATGCCAGGTAAAATGCCAAAATCAAGCTTCTAGTCTGCACTCAAAAAGGAATCCGTGGCCAACATAGTGAAACCCTGTCTCTACTAAAAATACAAAAAAAATTAGCCAGGTGTGGTGGCTGAAACCTGTAGTCCTAGCTAGTCAGGAGGCTGAGGCAGGAGAATCACTTGAACCCAGGAGGTAGAGGTTGCAGTGAGCCAAGATCGCACCATTGCACTCTAGCCTGGGCAACAAGAGCAAAGCGCCATCTCACAAAAAAAAAAAAAAAAAAAAAAAAAGGAATACATGGGCTTGCTGCCTAACTTGACTGTGGAGAGGCTTAAGAAGGGGATCTCCTGGCCAGGCGTGGTGGCTCACACCTGTAATCCCAGCACTTTGGGAGGCTGAGGTGGGCAGATCACCTGAGGTCAGGAATTTGAGACCAGCCTGGCAAACATGGTGAAATCCCGTCTATACTAAAAATACAAAAATTAGCTAGGAATGGTGGCATGTGCCTGTAATTCCAGCTACTAGGGAGGCTGAGGCAGGAGAATTGCTTGAACCCGGGAGGCAGAGGCTGCAGTGAGCCAAGATTGTGCCCAGCCTAGGCTACAGAGTGGGACTCCGTCTCCAAAAAAAAAAAAAAAAAAAAGAATAAAAAGAATAAAAGGAAAAAGAAGAAGGGGATCCCCAGATGGAACTGCACACCCCATTGTCTTGAATGTCTTAACCAGGCTTGTTCTGTATTTTTCTCCTCTTTAGCTCTTTTGGTGATGGTTACATATCTTTTGATCATAGGCCACATTCGCTTCTAATCTTAGACCAGCTTGTAGCCTTCCTTTGTGAACACAGTAAGAGAGTAGGATCCTTCCCCTTCCCCATGTGTATCACACATTACCTTTAGAGACTGGACATCAGAAAAGATACCTGTAACTCCAAGCTGTACCTCTACTGCCCAAATATCAGGGAACTTTTAAGAGCTGAGGGGTCAGTGCTGTACATTTCAGCTTTTCCAGAACTGTAATATCATCATCTGAGAGCCTGGAGGGCAGACACCAACACCCATGTTTTGCCCTCTCTTGGCCTCCCCACTACTCATTACAGGGAATGGGTGTTTACAGTTGACAAGAGGAGGGGGCCCAACTATGAGGGCATCAGATAGAATTTGCTATGTGGAAGGAAGTTCACCTGATCAACTTTGTGTCATTGATACAGTCTATGTCAGGACATCAGGAGCATCTCCTAAGACTCTGAAAGTCAGGCTATATCTGTCTTCATTACTTTAACCCACTGGCCTCCAGGAAGCCCTAGTTTACTGACAGGGTGTGGTAGCCAAAATAATGGCCTCCCAAAAATGTTCACACCCGAATCCCCAGAACCTATGACATATGTCACTTTACCTGACAAAATGTAGATGTGACTATGTTAATTAAGGCCCTTTAGATGGAGAGATTATTCTGTTTTATCTTGGTAGGCACACTCTGATCACATGAGTCCTTGAAAGGGAGAACCTTTCCCATCATGGGAAGAAAGAGATTCGGTGAGGGAAGGAGGGCCAGAGAGATGCCACAGGAGAAACACTCAACCCATAGGTCCTGATTTTGAAGATAGAGGAAAAGGACCATGAGCCAAGGAATGCAGGCAGCCTCTGAGAGCTGGAAAAGGCAAGGAAGCAGATTTTCCCCTTCAGCATCCAGAAAGGAACCAACCCTGCAGACACCTTGACTTTAGTCCAGTGAGACCTGTGTCGACTTGATCTCCACGACTGTAAGATAATAAATTTGTATTGTTTAAGCCACCAAGTATGTAATTTATTAGAGCAGCAGCAGTTTCCTGAACTGTGGAGGAAGCATGATGTAATAGAAAGAACAGGGAGACTCTGGTTAAAGAGACCAGCCTTGCCACAGTATGTGACTTTGGGCAAGTCACAATTTTCCATATGTAAAATACAAGATAGTCTGACCTCAATCAAGAGTATGATTGCTGGAGACACACTAGGTGTGGACTTTACAAAGGCCTCTTTAAAAGTCTGTCACAAAGGCTTCAGAGTCAGGAGGGAGAAAAATGGGCCACCCGATTGCACCATGAGGGAGACTTGGATTTCTTTGATCACTGAAGCCAAAGAGTACAGATAGGTCTTCGGTGACTTGCCCTAGGCCTCTCCTTGGTCCTGCCTCAAATGGTGACACAGAAAGCACATTCTCTGTGCTAATGGCACAGAGCTGAAAAGAAAAGCAAATACATCAAAAGGCCAACTCAAGATTCGAGCATTGCAACAAGGCAAAATGATGGCTCCAGACCACAGAATGAAATGTCATAAAAATAATAACAGCAGGCTGGGTGTGGTGGGTCATGCCTGTTATCCCTTGGGAGGCCAAGGCGTGCAGATCATGAGGTCAGGAGTTCGAGACCAGTCTGGCCAATATGGTGAAACCCCGTCTCTACTAATAATACAAAAATTAGCTGGGCACGGTGGCACACGCCTGTATCCCAGCTACCTGAGAGGCTGAAGCAAAAGAATCGCTTGAACCTGGGAGGCGGAGGTTGCAGTGAGCCAAGATGGAGCCACTGCACTCCAGCCTGGGCAACAGAGCAAGACTCTGTCTCAAAAAAAAACAAATAATAAATAATAATAATAATAATAATAATAATAATAATAGCCTGTAATCCCAGCACTTTGGGAGGCCGAGACGGGCGGATCACGAGGTCAGGAGATCGAGACCATCCTGGCTAACACGATGAAACCCCGTCTCTACTAAAAATACAAAAAAAAAAACTAGCCGGGTGTAGTGGCGGGCGCCTGTAGTCCCAGCTACTCAGGAGGCTGAGGCAGGAGAATGGCGTAAACCTGGGAGGCGGAGCTTGCAGTGAGCTGAGATCTGGCCACTGCACTCCACCCTGGGCGACAGAGCAAGACTCCGTCTCAAAAAAAAAAAAAAATAATAATAATAATAATAATAACAGCAAAGTCAGGCACAATGGCTCATGCCTGTAATCCCAGCACTTTGGGAGGCTGAGGCGGGTGGATCACGACCAGCCTGACCAACATGGCGAAACCCCATCTCTACTGAAAATACAAAAATTAGCTGGGCATGGTGGCACATGCCTGTAATCCCAGCTACTCAGGAGGCTGAGGCAGGAGAATCGCTTGAACCTGGGAGGCGGAGGTTGCAGTGAGCCGAGATACTACTACTACTGCACTCTAGCCTGGGTGACAAAGGGAGACTCTGTCTCAAATAATAATAATAATAATAATAATAATAGGCCG